TAGTGCCGACGTTTGGCTTTATGAAGCAGGCACGCAAACGGTTACGTCATGACGCAAACGATGACGCAATGACGCAGCACCAGTCGGACTCTGGGCAGTGTGAAAAGAGCCGGAGCTAAACCGAAGAACCGGTTCTGAACCTGAAAAGCTCTAGCAACGGAGCTTGAACCGGAGTTGCGTTGGTGTGAATGAGGTATATTAGGTGTAGTTCATGAGAACTCGTTAGTTCTCATGAACTAAGTACAGATCGCGTTCACACCAGAATAAGTACCTGGGGGAGGATTAGGCAAATGAAGCCGCTGAAGTCACTTCTTCCTCTGCTTTGGGTTTACTGGCAGGCCGCAAACAACTTCACGGCGTATACTGCCACCCGAAGTCCCCGGCCGGAAGTCCCCGGAGTTGGGGACTGGCTTCAGTACGCCAGAACGCCGACACTTCCTCATCTCCACAGCTCCCATGTTTTCTTTTGTGTTGCCATAAGTTAGTCTCTCTGCGTTTGTGCGCTGGGCTAATGCTAATGCTAATAATGCTAATGCGAGGATAATAAAATGGCGGCTTCACAAAACCTTTTGGGAGTTTTACGGGGCGTGGTTTGCAATCTGCCCAGCCAATCAGAAATAGGAACCTTTTTCTCCCAAGCCCCTGCTCTCAGCGATGGAAAAGGGGGTAAAAAGGTTCTCATGAACTAATTTTAGTTCCGTTTTTTTTGGTGTGAAAGCAACATTTCGGAACTGTATCGGAACTAAAGTGGGAAAAGTACTGCGGTGTGAAAGCGCCTAGAACCGCAGAGTGGAGGAACACGCACAGATATGCGTGTTCGCTGTCAGCAGCAGCCTGAACCTGGATCACTGATCTCTCTCGCGTACGATTCTCTTTTTCTCTTATGTCTAGCTATCGCTCAAGCTCATGAAATGAAACCCTGCTTATCAAAGGGCATCTAAACAATAGCCATTGCTAGGCAACCGGTAGTGGTGCCAATAGTGCAACATTAAACAGCTGTTTCTATGGGGGGGTAAAAATTACCCCTTTTGGTGGTTCTGGGTCAAAATTGTTTTTATTTTCATCCCACAACCCCCAAAATTAACTAGGTGATAAATATTCTAATTGTAGTCAAACTCATTTAGTAACATATTTGTGTGGGTTTCATTTCATTTCAGTTAGGCTACATATAGGCTATGTAAAAAAAAAAAGTGCAGGGGGGTAAAAATGCTTTGCGGTTCTAGTGTTAAGCTACAGTGACTAGGGCACTGGCGTCTGTATGCCCCCTCTCCGATTTCCTCTCTGCTCAGGCCAAAGCTGACGGGTCATTGTATCGCTGCTGTGCGATGGGGCATAGCCTACACCAGCAACACAAAAACATTAAACCTAACAACAGCTCACACCAGCCCAGAAAAGTGAGGCACAAAACATACAATAGCAATGCAGAATAGCCTGAGGGGTAAAACAAATGCTGCCTTTGTGCAGATGCATGGGCTTCTGTGTATAGTTGCCTCAGTCCTCGGCCCAGTGTCAGTCCAGAAGCTAATGGCAATCACTCTGCCCTGGACGCTGCAGGGAGCCTTTCCGCCTTGAGAACAATACAAATCTCTGAAATGTCAACCAAAACCAGTCAGCTGCAAAGGACTTATTTTTGTAATACAATATAACCTACTGTGTGTAGTTGTTGAAACATAATTTACATGCCACGAAAATATAGCAAATTACAGTCTAACAAGTTGCTTCTGTAGTGCTAAAAGGTGTAACTATACAAGAAAGAAAGTACGAACATTTGTGAATCAATGGGTAATGTTAATTTGGGAGCCCAGTCCAGGAAGCAGACTAGGTAAGGGATATTTAGGGAAAAAAGCCCTCTGGTTGTCCATCTGTTTGCAAATGTCTCAGAACTCTGGACACATCACTGCAGTGGCACATATACACATGTTTGTAAACAAAGCAACACACCCACACAGGAAGTCCAGTCCCACTAGACAAAATACCAACCCCACCCTAACTGTCCAGCCTCAGAAAAAAACAACACAAGAGCATTGTTTTGATCAAAAAGGAGCAAGATAAAGCAAAAGAACTGAGGAGTAAAGTGAATAAAAGGAAATAAAAACAGCAGTACAGAAAGATATTGATAAAAACCACAAATAAATAAAATGAGTATAAACGGAAATTGTAAGGATCAAAGGAAAGACAGATTGAATGATGGAGCTTCGTCTGCATAGCTAAAAAATGAATGGCAATCCTTCATTTTCTATGGCTGCAGCGATTAATTGAAGAATGTGGCATATTAGTAATAAAGCTTGCTCTCTCAACTTTGGACATTGATTCACACCTCCTCAGCTTATGGTGTAAGAAACCGATCAATCTCGCTCCTTCTTCTTCTCTCTTTCTCTCCTTCTTGAGCTCCTCTATTACCTTGCTAAATATAACTTCCTTCCCTTTGTCTTTGGCCAGGAAATGAGCCCAACATTCAATAACTGGCTGTGATTTAGGCATGCTTTGCAAATGAGATCTCCAGAAATGATTGATTGATTATTAATGAATTTGCTAATGTCCCTGATTGATCTACAGGGGGTATATTTTCGGCGAAAGAGAACATGAGGAACCAAAAGAGGAGAGGAAAGGGTTTGGGTTAAAGGCGGCATATAATGTGCTTCCTATGTGTCCATGATATTACAGTCACATGATGTAACAACTGGAAGGTAAACCTCTGTTTACATAATGTTGCGGTCTAGAATAGAACAGAGAAAAATGAGAAGGAAAAAGAGAAGAGAAACGAAGAGAGAGATCCACATCAAATGCCACAGGGAGCAGCACATGCCTGGTTGCCTGTCTGTGTGTCAGTCGCTCTGTCTGCTTGGCCTTGAAAATCCCAGCACTCAAAGCCAGACGACCACAGAACTCATGCCCACGCTATACATGCACGCACACACAGACACACACAGGCACACACAGACACACACACACACTGTGGCCTGTTCTATCCTACGCTATTGATCTGCACCCCACTCTTCATTAGAAAGAAAGATTCAAAGGCAACAAGGAGCAGTGAGACGTGTTGTGCGTGTGTCTGCGTGTCTGTGTGCATGCAGCATGTATGTGTGTTCCGAGATGTAAATGTATGATCAAGGGAGTTGTGTAAACTGCGTGTGGTTACATCCTGTGTGTGTGTGTGTGTGTGTGTGTGTTATATTTTTTCTGTATAGGTGTCTTACTGTGTGCATGTTTGCGCTCATGTGTGTGTACGTATGTGGATGTACTGCCAGGTATCAGTAACAGTGGGAGCGAACTGTGTTACTCTAATGCAGTCTGTCCTCGCTGGGTGTTCCTATGGAAACTCTCTCTCTCTGTATATTATTAGACCTTCTTGAGTCAACTGCTCAGAATAGGAAGACACAGATCTCATCTATATACACTCGCTATAAAGCGCTCCGTCTCGCTCCTGTACAACATGGGAGACTTGATGAGGGAAGATTTTTGCTTTGGAGATGAGTAGAGCCTCTTGCACAGGTCGAGGGTCAACATTGATTGACTTGTAGGCATCAGATCAATCACTGTTATTGGGCAGCCACCATCCCTGACACAAGCCTAAAGCAAACCTTGCAGTAATATTTTATTTTCAAAACAAGCGAAGTACTTAAACCCCTGACAGTACAGCCTTTCACTGGATATCCTGTTTTCTTGGATTTTGTCTTTCTTTTTCTGGTTTGTTTAACAATAACATGTGCACCTTTTCAAAAATGACTTAGATACACAAAAGAAAAGCAGAAAATGATACTTTTACTTGCCATATTTTCAGATAAATTCCAAAACTAAAGTGCACTGTATGTATTTCAGATGGACTGAATAATAGGTAGGATTCCTTCTCACAACAAAAACATTACAACCAAACCTATTTATTTAAGCAAAAATATATGTGATATTCTCTTCTTACAGCTGATACTGGTTCACCGTATGCTCAATGTTTGCAGGTATGACCAAATAAATGCCCCGCCCAGGATAATATAAGGTTTCAAACATTTGTTGTGCGTTCAGCAAACTGTAAAGATTTACTGAATACTAAATCAGAAACATTGAATGCTGACTTGTACATTATACATTCTCAAAACTCCAATTTAGCTAAATGTAAAAGAGTTGGATAAATGAATTATATTCTCGACACTTTTATCAGAGATGTGGACCTTGAACAACCTCATTTATCTTCCTTAAGGTCAGATTTGTTTCCCCTAATTTAATTGAAAAAGACAATTTGAGAGTAATCCAAGATGAAAACCAGAGACAAGCTGAATTCTAATGTTGAACATAAAATATTGCCTGCGTGATAAGGTTCAGACATTGAGTATTAAGGTCTATTTGAATACATATTTGCTTTCCCTCCCTTTTATCCCAGAGCAGACATGCTCTGTCATACTATAAGTATTATTCTTCCTCTAAAAGAAAGTGCTACTTGTTGTTTCACTTAATTCATTTCATCTGTAGAGTGGAAAATGGAGGCAGACACGACTGGAAACCAAAGAGTTGAGTGCCAGCTGTTAATTGTTGAGGCAGTATATAATTCTGTTAAAGATATAGAGGGCGTTACCTCAACAATTAAACACGTAAGTCTCCATATGTCACTCCTTTGTCACTGGAAAATGTGTGCAGTGACAGGAAGATGTATTTGAGTCTGTGTAGGTGTAATGTTTTTGACAGCGCAGTGTATGCTCATGCTGGGACTGGCTGTCTTTGATATGATTAAAGAAGCAGGTGTGTGAGGGAACAATGGTTTAAACGCAAGGAACAGTCCGTGTAATGTTTGAAGATGTGCTGCAGAGAACATTAATGATATTGAAAAGGCAGGACTAATATGTATGTAGGTTTCAAATGGGGGGTGGTCTGATCAGGGCCTTAGCTTGCAGCCATTGCCATTAAATCATTCCCACATGTCAGGTAAAGATGGAGTGAAATAGAGCATAGAGCTGAAGTGCGCAGATTCAGTGAAGGGTGTGTAAGAGTGGAGGATGGCACAGACTGACCTCTGGAGTGGTAGTCTGACGCCGTGCTGCTGATAGGCGCTTTCTTTACGGCTGAGGAGCGATAGACGATGTGTGTCCTCCCTTCTCCTCCGTCCTCCTCCCCCTCCTCCTCTTCCATCACTCCATCTCCCCTCTCCACTGGCTCGATAAAAAACTCCTCGTGCTCCATCCTGATCATACCAGCCTGAAAGAGAGTGTGGAGAATTAATTGGATGACATTAATACAATTTGAACTCGTATAAACACTCAACACCGAGCTCCGCCCTAGTTTGCCTCTCACTCTCTTCTCCAGCCATTCTTCACTTCCTCTCTTGCCCTGACAGTTTAAGGACAGAAATAGCCCTTGTCTGCACTCCACTGCTGTGTTAAGGGCATGCTGGGAGAAAAAGAGAAGAGGAGAGGAAGGCAGTGGTCCCTCCTGGGGACCTGCAGAGGTCCAGAGTGACACCTGGCATCTAAAATGGCCAACACAACAGCAGGAGATGAGACTGTCCCACTCCTCCATCCTAGACTAACACATTCTGTCAGGTAATTCCCCACGTCCGCCTTACGAACACACACTCACACAAACACAGATGAAATGTGCACATAGGCAAACTCACAGAGAGAGAGTAAGGCGGGGAAGTGAGGGCAGAAACTCTGAAAGAGATGGAGAGAAGTTAAGAAGCGTGCATTCAGAACGCACACACAAATAAAGAAGTCGCGTGCACATAAACGGGGAAGACAGGCGCTGGGAAAATTGCCCGTCACTCTCTCTTATTCCATCTGTCTGTATAAGACAACTGGTAATTACCAAGGCAACGCACTGATGTAGAGGAAAGCCATGGGGGAGAACACACAGAGAGGATGGAGATGGCCCAGAGAGGAAGAGCGCAACAAAGATAGAGCAATAAATGAGGAAGAGAGATACATTCGATACGATCAGCGCTTGCCTGCTTCTCCCTCCGCTCTGACAAGAGAAGGAAGGGATGATGAGTGAGTAGAAGAGAGGAAAGTGAGCTGATGGAAAAACTAAATATTGTGTGTAGAGGATTGTGTGATGAAAAGATGAACTGCATAAGGCTTTGCTAAAAGACTCAGTAATGCCACCCTCGGGCACAATGACAGGCTACGAATGTCTGTTTAGCCCATTACATCTGTGAGAGTAAATAGATATATTCAAACTACAACCTAAATTATTATATATTTGACAGTAGACTTTACAATACAGTACAGTTTTTCTTTCAATCTCTATAAACATAAACACATGACACCTGTAAATGGTCCCAAGCCAGCTAAAACCATCCGCTAAGGGACTGAACCTTAGTATGTCTGTCTTCCCGCCGTAGGGTTAAAATATCTTATGTAGCACATTTTTATCCTGTGAAAGTGGTTTGCTTTTTTAATAAGTGTATGAGTTTTTTTCTGCCTTTGTGTTTTCAAAGTGGTGAAGATGTTTGATCCTTGGCTTGTCTTGTTTATTTGCACATGTTTTCTTTAAGTTGCAGTGAGTTGAGCTGTCTCGGCCACCTATAAATAAAATACATTTGGCTTCACAAGCAGAACAGAGAGAATAGATCTACAATTCTTCCTTTGACTGAAGTCATTTCACTATAAAACATCTGTATTTATAAAGTTATCATCTATACTATACACTATATGGAGCCTGGAACTAACCCATTTGATGTTTTAAAATATGAAAGCATTTGGATCCCTACATAGAGAATAAATAAGAATATTATGTGCTACATGTTTCTTGCCTTTACCCCTCCTCTCCCATCCCTCTCCCTCTTTCTCCCTGTCAGTCTGAGGCTTTAGTCCCGGAAGGATGTCGACAAGCCACTGACCTGCCCTCTCACTCTCCTTCCCTCCCCCCTCTTTCTCCCTCCACCTCTCTCTCCCTTCTCATCCCTCCATTTCCCAGAGCCGTGGTGCGGCATTCCGATCGCAGCTGATGGATCTGCGATGGTGCATGCATTCCCACCCCAGAATACCAAGCAGTGGGCAGAGGAGAGCCGTGTCAAAGAAAAAAGATGACATGTGGGACTAGGAGACATGGTTGGATCGATCAGAGCCAAGCGGGGGCGGAGGGTTGGAGAGAGGGGAAGGTGTGAGGGAGAACTGGACACGTACTTCGAAAAGCCCGAGTGCATAAAGCATCAAAGCCTCTGCCCACATTTCTATAGTGAGAAGCATTGTCTTCATCTCCTTTATTAGAGCAGGAGCTGCCAAGTCCTAGTCGAGGAGATTACAGGGAGGCTTGTCCAAACACAGTGTCCAGAACAAATGAGGAATTCAGATTCTTCTGCATTACACACACAGTCCTAATGTGGCAGAATATCACCAGGTGGATTTAAAGTTAGGGATAAAGGCCATAAGGTGATAAGCTACGCAAAGGTAAACTCTAAACCCATTGTTGAGAGTAATGAAAAATGATTTGGTTGGAGTGGAGGGAATTTAGAAAATAACAACTCTTAATCAATGGACCTTGATTAATCATATGATAAATAATAACATTTAATTGAACAGTGTTTGAGAAAAAGCAATCAAAAATGTATCACTTCTGTGGAGGATGTAAAACGTCTCTTTGCCATGTTATCATTCACGGCCCCTAATTCCAGCTCGTTATTTTCCGTCTACTGTCAAGTCAGGATTTCCATAGCTTCAGGCATTGAGATGACGGCACCTGGGCCATTTCGAGCTTCATTCTGCACTGCCAAACAAATATTGTACGGGTAAAACTAATGACGATTTTTTTTTGCGAAAGAACATTGCAGAGTATCAAACTTGAACCTATCTATAACTTTGTGTTTATTTCCTTAATAACTTGACCACAGACTTAAGAGTCTTACAGTATGTCGATTGGTTAACAAAAATGTCCACACCCTATGGCTGCTACAGTTTCCACTCTAGAGAAGGCTGACATTTTGCATGGATGTCAAATTGTTCAGCGGTTGTGTTTTTTTAATGCAAGTGGATGCATGTGTGCATGTAGTCGCATTCTTAACTATGGAAATGTGTCTTGACATCACTGTAAAGGATACACTCCGCTAAAGGGGAAAATGAGTGTAGGAAATCAGTGTCTAAATGACTCAGTCAGTAGCAATGTGTGTGGCCAATTGTGCTGCTGCTTTCTAATTTCATTGTTTGTTATATATTTAATATTATCACTCTATTACTTGCCTGTTCAGGGATTGCTGTGGCCCAGCTGCATCGCTAGTTGCTTGTTCTCTTATTACAGTAAATTCATTGGGCTCCTTCGGGGGATGAGCCTGAAGATGTTTTATTAGGTTTGACGTGTTAAAATGTAACTTATTAGCTCCTCTCCCCTCATGAGACACTTGAATCCGACACAGTGGCTTTCTGCATCTCATCATTATCTTCATTGTTTTTAAAGTATTTGCACATCACACACAGGAAGTATGACTGCACATCTGGCTGAAAAGGTCATTGGTGAGCATTCCTATGGATTTCTAGTACTGTATATATTATTCAGTAACATGATCAAAATACAACCTTTCGCATACAATAGGCAACTAGGCATTTCCACAATAATAATGTTGCCAAATGATGAGATAGATGTCTAGTTACAAAGCTGTTAAATACAGTATGACTAAATGCTTTGACTTTTTGAAACAATTAATAAGTAACAAAGATAAAGCTAGAAAGCTGTATTAATGCTGTCTTCAGTTCATATTTAAATCAATTCAAACCCTTCAGAGTAAATCTCCTTCACACGGAATAATGACGCGAATCACATCCGAGTGTGTAATTATGATAAAAGAAGAGAAAACATCGGCACATTCTGCAAAGAGCAGCCCGCACCAAATATTAACATCTGGCTCATTATCAAAGAAAACACTCATACAAGCTCACATCTCAGCGAATATAACGGACTATCTCATGGCCGTTACGATGGTGACACTAAACACAACCCTCCCTCTGAGACCTGAAGCCCCTCTGAGATACAGTAGGTAGCCTCTAAATCTGGATCCTGCTCACTGAGTGTCCAGTTACAACGGGAGGATCCTCAGTGTTTGAAGACACCCTGAGCTCTATTTGAAGATCTGAAAGAAGCAACTTGAGTCCTGGGTAAGGGTCCTGAGGGGCACGTGAGAGGAGAGCGGCAGAAAGGCAGAGTTGGAGTGGAAGAGCGGATGTTGTGGTGAGGATCAAAGTCACACCCGGTCGCGGCCCTTCAGCTCACTCCACCAGAGGCAGTATGTTACTGTGTGTGTGTGTGTGTGTGTGTGTGTGTGTGTGTGTGTGTGTGTGTGTGTGTGTGTGTGTGTGTGTGTGTGTGTTTGATCTGATTCATAACCTTGCTACTGCTGGCTAACTTCACACACAGTTGCAC